TAAACCTGAAAAGACTAAAGAATTTTTTTAGACTTAAATGATCTTTTAAATTACTAGAGTTCAATGTAGTTCATTTTTGTTTGATAGTATTAAAAAGTTTTTACATTTTTTACAAAGACACATTTGAAAGACACATTTAAAAGGGTAATTATAAAAATTATCCTAAATGGACACTCAAATGTTTTTAAAATGTTTATAAAGAAAATTATATTATAATATACTATTGAACTATACATTTTTGATTATGTGAGTAATAGCACTGTAGGTGCATGACTCAGCAAAATACTTTATTCAATCTAAATTCAATTTAAATCTAGGAAAAATGAATAAAAAAATTTTTAATTATAAATATCTTTTAAACACTTTAATAATAAATTAAACTCAGAACAAAAACTGATGTATTATATAGTTGATCCATATTCAAAACAATAATATCTTCTTAACAAAGTGGCCATTTATAATTTTAGAAATTTAGGTGCAAACTTTTTCTTGATATTTAAGCAAGAAAAAAAACTTTTTTTACAAAGCACAAATAAAAGCAAAATATTTGTCAAAAATTTTATGAAATCTAATGAATTAATGAAAAAGACTTTTTTATGAAAACTAATAAATTAATAAAAAAAAAAAAAAAAGGACTAAAATTATCGAAAATAACTAATAAATCATAACAAATAGAAGTGTAGTTACCTTGACAATCCAGTATCCATCATCACTAGAAGAAGTGGTTCGAACGCAAGATTGTTTAAGAAACATTTTTAACTTTTCTTTAACAAACACACCTTTTTCTCGTCTGATAAAAATATTCTTATATTTTTTACATATTTTTATTTATAACTTTATGATTGTATTTATTTTGCATACTTCATTAACATAAAAAAAAGTTAAAACATCAAATATCAACGAAATAAAATTACCTGACACAATTTCCATTCAAAGTTACAATTGATCCCTTAAGTGAACCTTTCAATATTTCAACCTTGTACTGCAATGAGTTTGGGTCTGGCCATGTATCTTTACAGTCCATTGCAGATTGTTGTTTATTTTTATTTTTATTAGGAGATTTAAGAGAAAGGACAGTAGGAGCTGTATTAGCATTTTTGCAAAAAAATGAGACATCTGAATTACTTGGTACTTCAGTAATAATTCCTTTTTCCCTACAATTAAACCATAAAAAAATAATAAAATTATTGAAAAATATATTAAAGTTTTTTCATGCAAGAAAATAAAATTCCATAAAAAAAAAAAATTCCACAAAAACAACTCTTTAGTAAAAGTATAGTAGTTTTACACTTTTTTTATTTTTTTTTTTTATTTTTACATTTTTCAACCAATTTAAACTTTGTATTATAAATTAGTTAGTGTAAATTGTAAATTGATTTAATCTTTTAAAACTTTTAATTTTAAGAAACAATTTATTTAAAACCAAAAAAAAAATTTTTTGCACACTATTTTTTTTTTTTTTTTAAAAAAAAAAAAGTAAGAAATAAGTGTGCAATTAATAACATATAGGACTGTGAATAACAAGAAAATAAGAAAAAAAAGGAAAATTAAATAATAAGAAAAAAAAGGAAAATTGTAAGTATTAAATAAGCAATATAATTAAAAACTGTTCAACCCATGCAAATGATCCCGTGCAAATGCATTTGCTAATCCAAGTTTGAGAAGAAATAAAAATTAAAACGACAGCAATAGTAATTATTATTATTTTAATAGCCTCAGCCTTATTTTATTGAAACCATCTATAAGCCTCTATAAGTTATTTTATCTAACCCAAGTTGATGTAAAATAACTAATGGTTGGTAGATAGTTCAGGCTATCCTATAATATTTTAATACTGAACTTACTACTGCTGCTGCTACCGTTGCCGTTACTCATTCTGACTTATGTTAAAACATTTATCAAGTTTTACAGTTTAACTTTTACTTGAAAATTGTAGCAACATCTTTCTTTTTGATTTATAGCATTTATTTACTCACAGCATTTCTGAAGTGAATTGCCATGGTTTAAATCCTTATGCTTCCGCATTTACTTATTTTTGAAGTTCTTTAGATATTTTTAATTTTATTCAAAAAATGGATTGCAGCGAAATCTCTGTATTTTTATATTTTGATTTATAGCATTTATTAGTTTTATAAAGTTAATCTGTCTGTGTTTAAATAGTGTTAAAAACTGGCAGATTAGTGCATCTTAGTGGGCAAAGTGGTTAGCTCGAGGCTTCAAACCCTTTTGTTTCCACATTTTTTTTTTTTTTTTAATCTTTTTCAATTTTCTAAAACACAAAATAAAATATTTTTGAAGTTCTATTGATGTTATATACATAACATATATAAAACATATATGTTAAATATAACATATATAAAAATATTATATACTATAACATACAAGAGTTTAAAATTTCTAATATCATCAAAACAGTGGCAGAAATGTTTTGCACATATGGCAAGATAGAGATACTTATATTAATTAATGTGCTTAAACTTTTAGTTAAGTCTGTGCGTTTAACACACAATAAAGAGACAACCTTTTTTCTTATAGGAAAAAAGATTTTACATTCAAACTTTTATTTTCTTCAAAATTATGTAACGGGGCAAGTGTCTTAAAAAGCTGTGATTGGTCTAGAAAAAGTTTAATAAAAACTTTTTAGAGATGTAATAAAGAAAAAAATTAATACGTCCGTACCATTTTTTTTTTGTTTGTTTAGAGAAATATAAAAGTTATAAAGTATAAAAATTTATAAAGTATTGAACATTAATGGTTAACTCAAAACAAAAATTTGACAAAAATTTGATTTTTTTTTTCTATTACTTAATAAAAACTATAGAAATTAAACAACTATATAAAGAATTTTTATACCAACTATAATTATTCAACAAATTTCACGCGGGTATTCTTCAGGTACTAATATCTTAAATGCTGATATAGCAGTTCAAATATTATAAATAGCATTCGCGCAATGAATTCTAATTATCAAAGCGATTAAAAATTTTTAAAGTTAATTTTAATATAAATTATTTTTTTATTCGTAACTTTAAAAGGTAGACAATATGTTTAGCTTTTTTTATCACTTACTAAAAATATTGAAAAAAGAATAAGTTTAGAAATAGTCAGTGTAGAACAGACTTACCAAGACCTGTATTTTACAGGTCCAGACAGCTAGTAATATTCAACATAATATCTCATGACATTATGTTTAATATTAATCATAAACACATTCAATGAATAATAATATTAAAAATATCTTAAGACATATAACTCACACTTAACATGTATTTAATTATAATGCATGGAAAATGATAAAAATGTACTATTATTGAAACAAAAGAAAGGAAAATCACTATTTTTGCCAAACTGAAGTCTGTTGTTGTTGTGCTTTTACCTTTTTAAAAAAAGTGAAAAACAACATAACTGACATTTTTTCCTTATATTTTAAATAAGGAGTACTTAGATAAATGATTTTGAGGAATATAAATGATTTTGAGGAAAATTATAACTCTTTCCCTCATGACCTTCACAGAGGGGTCACAGGGTAAATTTTGCAAGTTTTCTTGCAAAACCTTGCAATTTTCCCTGTGATCTGCTCTACAAGTCATTATAATTTCTCAATTTATTTTATATGTTGACATTATTTATTGATATGGAAATAAAAATAATAAATATATACTAAAAATGATTTGTCAAAATTTATTATAGTTTAAAACTTTTAGCTTTTTGAAAATTGACTTCTTACAGGAATTTATTAGTTATCAGTTATCAAAAATATCAGTTAATGAAAGTGAATTACTCTACTAATATGAACAAAAATGCATAACTGATCATTTTAAATTAACTTATTAAATAATTCATTCATTGAATGACTTTGTAAATGGTTAAAAAAGCAAAGCAAATTAAAAAAATAAACGAAAAGATTGAAAAAAAAAAAAAAGAGAAAAGTAAGTAAAAGAAAATATATACAAGGTAGTGACATACAACGATTTTAAATAATAATAAAAAAATGACTTTAATCTCTAAAATCATTAACATTAAAGAAAAATGATTGCACTTTTTATCTCTGCTATGTTAAATAATAATAATGTTATTAACTCTTGTGCACAGATACTATTTAAACTGATACTTAATACTAATCTCTCAAGATTATTTATTTCTTTGAGCATTGTATGATTGTAATAATTTTTCAAAAAAAATTTATCATTAGTAGTTTATTAAAAAAAAAAGCCTAATACTGAACTTTATTTGAAAGAAAATTTCAAAATTTCGAATTATTATTTACTGAGTTTCCAAGACCACATTTATCTGATAATTTATAATTAATTTATTCATACTTTATCTACATTTGTTTTCTAATTATATGATTTATTTTTCCATTTTTCTAATTTGGTTCAGAGGTTTTAATAAATGGAAAGCATATTTTATCATAACTGATTGTATGAAGAGCTTAATCATAATTGATTACCAACAAGAAGAACAAGAAGAAATCACTCAATAATTTAAAGATATCCTTTATATATATATATATATATATATATATATATATATATATATATATATATATATATATATATATATATATATATATATATATATATATATATATATATATGTATATATATATATATATATATATATATATATAATTACATATGAAATCGTCCAAAAAAAAACATTTTCAATACCCTTACATCTCAGAATTTATTCATTTTTACCATTTGCAGTCCATATTAAAAAAATAATAACTGCAAAAATTTTAGTTAAAAATACACATGGGTTCCAGAGATATTGTCAGTTGAAATAATGCTGACTTTGACATTTAGTATCTTCATAATAGCTTAGGGAAATTTTTTTAAATTTGGTACTCCAATAGATTTTTACTTGAGGAATCAAAAAATAGCACCCTCAAGACTCTATTGTCTCAGGAAATGCCTCATTTTATCCAACAGTCTTTTTAGAAAAATTTAAACTTAGTAACAAAAGCAATTGAAATATTTTTTAAAACATTTATTTGAATAAAACATCAATTGACTAGTTAAGAAAATTTTTAGTCTTAGGCTAAGGGAGGACCAGGGGGTCTCTGACCAACTCTGCCCCCCCCCCCTCTTCCCCATTCTTACTGGATTTTATTTTTTATACATAAAATGAAGTAATAATAAATATTTATTAAAATTCAATTTAAAAACATAACTTTTTTTAAGTTTAAGTGTTTGAGAAACAATTAATTTTCATTTTAAGTTTCAAATTGATAAATAATTATCTCTTATTTCAAAGTAAGCACTCAAAACTGAGATCTTTCACGATTTTAAAAATCAGAAATTTTAAAACCAAAGATATTGAAATGTTTTTTAAAACATTTTAGCAACCAATATCTTTATGGTATTATTTAGTAGTTTAAGACTAATATAGTCATTGATAAGGTGGACAGTGGGATTAATTTAAACCCTCCTCCTTGCCAGCCTTCCATCTAAAGATTTAAAAAAAAAAAAATAGAAAGACAAATTCTAAATGCAAAATAGATAATAAAAATTACAAGAAAATTATTTTAATTGTATTTTTTTTTTTTTTGTAAATAACTGCTTATATTCTCCAAATCTAATGCAGATATGTTGTATCTAAGACCTGATATTGTTGAGGGTTCAAGAAATTAGGCATACAACTTTAGAATTGAGCACCCAACACTTGTCATTTTTCATTAGCCAAAAAGAAGTTTTTACCTGGTCCATTTGGATGCAAGAATCTGACTTTTATATTAAGCTCACTTACATGTTCACCAATCCCTACCCACTAAAATCCGTCATAAAAACATGCAATATAATCCATTTCTTTAATGTTTAATGAAATTTCTTTATTATGTTTGCTTTTTGGAATGATATCAAATATTTCAATACATGTATCATAATTGTTTTTTTATAACTTATAGTGTTTGAAGCAATTGGAATAAAATGATGATACATCCTTGCAGGACCGTCCTCAATATTCACAACTTGCCAACTATAGTTCAAAACTTGCTCAATGTGCCAACTCAAATGCTTATATAACAGCTATGGGGGGGGGGTACCCCTACATCCTCTGTTCAGGACGGCCCTGCATCCTTGTGCCAGGAACTGTTCTTCCACCTAAATATCTTTTTTCTAATTGTGCTTGTGTTTGTTTTAGACTTTTTTGACATACTACTCTTTTAACAGTCCCACTAATACCATCACAGGGAGATTTATCATGACTAGCAGCAAAAAATACTTATTCAGCATTTATATCAAAGTCTTTACTGTGATGACAAAGATTGATAAAGTTTTTAAAATTTTTAAATTGTGCTGCACAACCATCAGAAAAGTATTTCACACTCGATACACCAGGTAGATTTTCTTTGATATATCTAGTTATATCTTCATGAGTCTTGTAAATAATCCCTGTGTCATGATCAACATCTTCTGAAAGGTAACAAAAAGATTTATTTTTGAGAACTTTTATCTATGTAAAATAAAGTACAATTGTAAAGAGTGAGCAAGACTTTTGCTCCAGTGATAACTTTGAACTTTATCCTGAACAACATATTGATAATTTGCAGCAAAATCTCCTAAAATTATGCATTCGTTTTGGTAAAAATTTTCTTTACAGTTTTTCAAATATCTATTTTGTGTTTTAACAATATATGAATGAGTGGTAAGGTTGTAAATGCTGTCACATAATAAATCATTCAATTCATCTAGTGGCAATGATTGTAATATTATTGTTGTACAATTAGTACTCTGCCATTGCTTGAATGCTACATCATCTTTGAGCTCATGGTCCATAAACTTGTGCACTAAAAAACATTTTAATGCTTCAATACCAGGGCATTGGTTACATCAATACAACATTCTGTATTTTCAAGAGAACAAACAATCAATGCCATGAAATCTTTATTACTTTTATTCCATCTAATGATATCAATTAGAAATTTTATATTTTGGTCCTGGCATCATTCTTAAAAATTCATCACCTTGATAAGAGTTTATAACTAAAATAATTGTGTCTGGTTAAAGTGGGTTTCGAATTTTTTTGGGGGGCAATGATAGAATTCCATGCTCATTTTTAACCTTTCTTGCAGTTTGAACAAGATACTCAGACACTTTAAGGTAGCTTGATATCTTTGTATATGTCCATGATTTTGGTGTGAGTGTTAACATTTACAACTTATGGTGATAAGAGTCAATCTCTAAAAATTTTTTTTTTTTAAACATCAATTGCTTTTTTCAATTGCTTTTGTTACAAAATTTAAATTTTTCTAAAAAGACCAATTTTTAAACAGAAATTTTGATCAAGTATTAGAGAGACAATTGATGAATCTAATTTTTTTTCAGTAGACGTAAGATAAAATAATGATTTACAATTAAATTTTTTACTTAGGATTTTGAGCCAGTCTTCATTTTACCTCCAAAAATCATGAATTTACAAATCAATAATTTTGAACAATGTTAGATAAGCGAGGCATTTCCTAAGACAATAGAGTCTTGATGGTGCTATTTTTCGATT